GATCATGTGACTTTTCTTACAAGGTTGCACATTTTGCGCAGAAATTATCAGCATTTAGCAATTTTTTGGGCATTTTATCCTACTGCTTTGATAGATACTAAAACAATTATACTCCTCAGTGGCTAGTGGTAAATATAATATCCACCAATAACCACCTCCACTGCGGATAATGATTCTTACTGATTTGTTCACACTTAAGCGTAATTTGAATATTACTTTTGCCGACGGCTTTGCTGTCATTTCATCGACCCTAGCTTCACTAGTCCTTTAGTCCAATTGCGGTTGTTCATAGTACTCCGGGTGTTCCGAGCATCCCGGTTCCCAGGTCCTGAAATCATTATTTTCCAAATCACCGTTTGGTTAGTTTGCCCTTTCTTCTGACATGTATTTTGACAACTCTGTCCATGGTAACCAAATGCAAGGGTATCAAAATCTAAGCAATCAAAATTCCATGACTCAAAGAAATTCTAAGTTTGTCTTTTAAAAAATCTTCATTCCATAATCGACTTTAAGGGAGGGTCTCAGTGGCGGATCCAGACCTTGAGCTAAAGGGGGAGGGATGGGGGAGGGGTCGGTTCTTTTTGGTTGCCATCTTCCTTCTTTTCTTCCTTCTTTTTTTAGCCAAGATAAGGGGGGGGNGGCGGGGGCGGACCCCCTGGCCCCTCCCCTAGATCCGCCACTGGGTCTGTCACTTTATCTTCGATGAGGGCAATACCTCCATAGCGTGGTTAAGCCGCTCCTTGCGAGAAAGCAGAATACAACCTCTGGCACCCAAGGCATTCTTGCATTGGCCCTCTTAAGAATTCTGAAGCTACAAATAACTATAGAAAATTTAAATTTAGTGTTGCTGCAGCTGTTGTGGCTGTTTTTGAATTCTATTTTAATTCGAGTCGAGCTACTGCTCCTCGTCCATACTTAAGTATTCGATCGCTACCGGGCACTCTTGTACCATTGTGCAATGATAAAAAATTTCACCAGACTCTTTTTCATGTTTCTTGGCCTACGACTATCGCACGATTTCTTACTTAACTCGCCTGCCGGACAATATGCATTACGAATGGTCCTGTGATAACAAGTGTGTTTATAAATAATGCAGATAATAGCTGATAATGTTACGTGGTGAATTTTAAGTTCCTTGAATAAATGTTGAAGATGGATGTTTCGGCTTGTCTCCCCTCCCGAGGAGGATCTCATTCATGGCGAGCTTGGAATTTATATGCAAGACGAGTGTCATACATGAACCGTGTAATGGTCCAATCTCACCTTGAGCCTCTCTGTAGGCTAGGAAACTCAGAATTTTCATGAATTTCTTTGTTCCATTTGCGCGACGTGACGCTTCACAAATTAAACACAGTCTGAACATGTCTACCAAAAGTAACCTATAGCTGATGCACACGTTCAAATAAAAGAAAGAGAAAAAATAAAATCTGCATAATAACGTTTACTCGCCACGAGAACATCAAATTCCTCAAAATTAAGGGCTTTTTCGAACGATTACACCCATACAGGAGGACGAGGTAAGTAAATTACTGCAGTTATGACCAGTTTATTCCCCATTATTCACTTACATTGATGAATTGATCGACAAATAAT